CCGCCACGTTTGTGTCTCACATACTGCTTTCTCCTTCCATGGAGAAGTGAGCAGCATGCCTGGGAGGACCAGGCTGGTGTCCCCTGAAATCTGGTGCTGGCAGACTGCGGGAGGCAACCCCCCCAACCTCCCTCCGGCATCCTGTCATCTTGAGGGCTGGATACCCAGTTTTTAGATCAGTTTTATCTTAACAGTCAATTCCCTAATGAGCTCAGGGAAATAGGGTTCCATGACACAGAGTAGGGGCCGTGGTCTGAGTTGGAGCAAAGTGGGGTCGCGGCAGAGCTGCGAAAGCAGGGCACTGTTGGCTGGCCAAGCCACGGGCTGGTGAGCGGAGTGTGCAGTGCTGTCTGCCTGTAACCTGCTTCTGCGCCTTCTCACAGTCCTGTGGCTCCACTGGGGTCTGGGGAGGAGGAAGGGCACTTAGTGGGGGCACGTCCTCTGGTCCTCCGGCTGCCGAGACTGTTCTGTTCTATAACTGCTCTGTGGAAGGGCGGCTGACATCTACCCACTGACTGCTGATTGCCTGATGGCGTTCCCATCACCCCATCTGACATTTATCATAGGGAAAGTTAAAAGCGCGCTGGTATAATATCCCATTTTAGTGTTCCTATTTCGGGATGCAGACTTTTCCCTGCCTTCAAGCTGATCTGTCCCTGAAGAGACTATTACCTTGTGAATGTGATGACCATGGAGTTTTCAGGAGGATGCTGGGAAGGGAAATTCATTCCACCATGATTTGGTTGGAACAGAGGACACACGGACACACACTGTGCTGTTCCTTCCCTCCCCTCCCCTTCCAGGTCAGGTCATGATAGCTAACTGCTCTCTCCCTCCTTTCCATTGGTTGGTGGATGGGTAGGGTGGTTATTTATTATTGTTGTTGAGATAGGGTCTCACAGATCCCTGTTGGCTGTCGCCATCTTACCAGATGAAGTAATGGGTTGAGCCCTTGCCTTCCTTTGTACCTACCTTCCCCTGCTTTAAAATTCTTATGTATACAAGCATCTTGCCGGCACATACATCTGTGCGGCACATACGGGCAGTGCCCCTGGAGGCCAGAAGAGAGCATCAGGCGCCCCGGAACTGGTGTTATGAATCGCTACCTGCCTAGAGTTCCAGAACTGAACACTGGTCCTCTGCAGAGGAGCAAGTGCTCTTAACCTCCGAGCCACCCCTGCAGGCTCCACTTTCTATGTCCTTACCATCCCCATTCCCCAGCGAATTACAAAAGTAATTCTAGTACAGACTTCTACAGTCACGGACAGGGTCGCCAATGTTTCTACAGCAGCCATACATGCTTTAGAACCAGGAGAAGGAAGGCCTCTCGCACTGGCTGGTAGCTGTGGTCTCAGAGCCTTACAACTTCCTGACTTTTGACGGGAGAGAAACGCTGAGGCAAGCAGCTGCTACGCCCACCACTCTGACTTTGTAGTTGGGATAGCCCTTCTCCTGGAGGGGCCTTCCTTCCTGCTCGGCGCGCCACATCTGCCCACTTCATGTTTAGCTGTGTGTGCACATGCTCGCTATGGTTCAAAGTTGTTTTTATTGTGACATTTCCTTTGTTGCTGCTGATGTTATCAGTGTGTGTGTGTGTGTGTGTATGTGTGTGTGCGCGCGCACATGGGAGGGCACATACCATGATTGCACCTCTACCTGGCTCCGGGGATTGGACTCAGGTCCTCGGGCTTGCCCTGGTAGCACCTTTCCCTGCTGGAGCCTCCTCACCAGCCCTGGTTTTGAAACAGGGTCTCACATGGCCAAAGAGATTTCAACAAAATGTTTTCCGTTTATAATCTCTACCTTTCTCGGCTTCAGCGTTTCTGTGCAGAGACTGTGGCGCTTTCATTTCTCCATCACAGCATGCTAACATGCCACCCTTTGGCCAGGCGTGGCAAAGGTGCAGGCAGCAGTTAGTATGGACAACCGGTCAGCAAATCTGAGCCAAGGTCCAAGGTTCAGAATCGGGGATGTGTGTTCTGTGAGTCTGTCCCCCTTTGCCTGCATACTGCCAACCTCTGCACCTTCTCCCTCTCCCACCAAGGCAACAAGAGGCACATTTGATTCCTTTTTTTTTTTTTTAATCTTCTCTTTACAATTTATAAACTTTATTTCCTAACAGAAGAGAATATTGAACAAGGCTGAGAAATCCATATCCCTTTAGCTTGGCACTCTTAACCATCTCACCTTCCGTTTCTTGGGTTGAAAAAGCTGTTTGGTAAGAATGATTAGGCTTGGCTTTCCTTGGTTTTCCCGTGGATGGAGATATACACGTGCACGCACTCTCTCTTCCTCCCTGTCCCTCTGCCTCTCTCTCTCTCCAGGAGAACCTGACTGATTCCTCTGAGTGGATGTAAAAGCTCAGTGTAGTAGCTCGCGATTGCAATCCTGCTGAGGAGGTGGAGAGATTCAGCAGCCCTCAGGCTGGCTTAGCCTGGCACACACAGGTAGCAGCCCCTGTCAAACAAAACAAAAGGCAAAAGGCAACAGCTGGGATGGTCCTGTGGCCTCCACCACAGGGCACAGGCACATCTATGCTCGCACACGCCACATACTTCATGTGAGTACTGTGACAACGGAAAGTCTGAGCGTACATTCCAGCGGCATTAAAGTAAACAGTCACGTTTCTTAACACAGTGCTCACCACCACACATCTCCACAATTCTCATATTGCCAAACCGATGCCATGTACGGAACAACAATTCTCCATTTCGGCCCCAGGCCCTGGCAACCGTCACTCTACTTTCAGTCTACTTGAAGGACCTCATATCAGTGGAATCATCAGTATTTGTTATTTTATGTCTGGTTTGTGTCACTAATGTTCTTAAAGGTCATCAGTTATAGCAAGTATTAGAAACTTTTGTTAGTTTTTCAAGACAGGGTTTCTCCATGTAGCCTTGGCTGTCCTGGTCTCACTTTGTAGACCAGGCTGGCCTTGAACTCACAGAATGCAGAACGCCAGGATTAACACAGGCGTGCACCACCGCGCCTGGCCAGGAACTCTTTCCTCTTTAAGGCTAGGTCCTGTTTCATTGCAGGGACATACCACATTTTGTTTATCTGTTTCTCCGAGGATGCACACTTAGTTGCTTCCCTGTTTTACTACGGTGAATAGCGGTTGTACAAACATGAATATTTAAAGCTTTCACTGTTTTTATGTGTTTTGTCTGTGTGTGTGTAAGTGCGCTGTGTGCACCTGATGTCTCAGAGGCCAGGAGAGGGTTCTGGATCTCCTGGAGCTGGAGTTAAGGATGGTTGTGAGCCGCCATGTGCATGCTGGGAAACAAACCCAGGTCCTCAGCGAAAGCAGCCAGTGCTCTTAACTGTTAAGTCATTTTCCCAGTCCCTCCTATAACTTGGTTTTGAGCCAGAAATATATTTTATTGAAGTTTATTTAATATAGATTCTTTAATACGATTAAGAGGAGGAGGAGGACTCAGGAAGAAAGCCGGACAATTGCAATAACATGGCACCTCAAAAGAGAGTGGAGCCGGGGACCGGGCCCTGTCAAAAACCAGCAGCTGTCTCGGTTGAATGGGGAAGAGCAGGGCGTGGCTAGGGTCACCAGCACTCTGTCTCATCTGGAAGAGGGTGTGGTCTGGAGAGAGGAGCCCAGAGCACGGTGCTGGGCAGGGCGGGGCTTACAGCCAGTCAAGGTTTAGACAAGGCCAGGCTAGGCAGGTCCATCCGGACACCAATGGTGTAGGCCTCGCAGCCTTGCAGGACTCGAGTTGTTACTAAAGAGAAAGCACTTGGTTGGTTACACGCCCTTAACCCCAGCTGTCTTCCGGGCGGGCAGACCTCTGAGTTGAAGCCAACCTAGTCCAGGCCAGCTAGAACTACACGGTAAGATTCTGTACCAAAACCAGAAGGCAAGCTAGGTAGTACGCCTTTAAAGTTGGCACTTGGGAGGCGGAGGCAGGTAGTTCTCTAGGACTTTGAGGCCAGCCTGATCTAATGGTAAAGTTCTGTCTCAGAGAGGGAGGGAGCACCTGAAGTCCTGGCTATGATGGTACACTTAGGAGGCAGACACCGGAGGATCAGGAGTTCAAGGCCAGCCTCTGCTACATTGAAAGTTCAACCCTGACTTTCTGAGGCTATGTCACATCTCTTGGCAATCTCTTACTCTGATACTATAAAAAAAAATACCCCCAGAGCCAGAGATGCCCATTTGGGGTCAATGACCCTTTCACCCTTTCACAGGGGTCTCGCACCTGATGTTTACATTATGAGTTGCAACAGTAGTAAATAGAGTTAGGAAATAGCAACAAAAATAATTTTATGGTTGGGGGATCAGCACAACAGGAGGAACTGTATTGCTGGGTTGCTGAGAACCATGTCTCCAAGGTTTAAGCGCTGGCTGCTCTTCCAGAGGACTCGGGTCTGATTCCCAGCTTCCACGTAGCTGCTCACGACCACCTGTAACTCCAGCTTTGGAGGGATCTGATGCCCTCTTCTGGCCTCTGCAGGCACTGCACACCAAGTGCACAGACAGACATTCAGGCAAAACACCAATACATATAAAAAGGAATATTCAATTAAACAACCCTCTCTGCACTGAGTCAGGCCATACAGCCTGAACTTTGCCTCAGCTGCCTTCTAGGAACTACATCCAGCAGCTAAGAAGTGACGCACAGAGCTACATGCCTGGGACCTCACCTGTGTTGGTGCAGAAGAAATTTTTGAAAGCTTCCCTTTCAATTTTGTTTGCAACCAAGTATGTGTGTTTGAAGTGACAAGCAGTGACCAGTTTTATTAATTGTAGCAGTTCATTTTCGATGTTCAAATGCCTGAAGAAGGAGCAGTTTGGGAAAGCCCTGAGCATATCGGAAACACGAAAACATGAACTGTGTAGCTATGGAGAGGCAAGGCAGCCGTGTCTTCAGACCCAGCTACCTCTTCCATCAGCAGCGAACATGGCACTGGGTTTATGACTGCAGTCTGAGGATGCGTTCACAGCTCCCTTTAAAGTCATTTCTTATTCTTTCTTTGCCTTTCAGATTTCTTGTTTAAATTCTTGGTCATCGGAAATGCGGGAACTGGCAAATCTTGTTTGCTTCATCAGTTCATTGAAAAAAAATGTGAGTGACACTGGGGCATCTGTGTAACCCTGCCAGCGCCCCCGGGCATGCGAATGCCTGTGGGAGGGCTGAGCTTTCCCAGGGGGGAAACCGTAGCTTCAAAGGGCTTTCAAAAATTATTTAAAAATGTCATTCGCGCATATATTTTGATCATCTCTATCCCCATTCCTTTATCCCCTCCTCTCCCCTCTGGAACCCTTCTCCCTAACATGCCCCGCCCTCTCCTTGCTTTCATGTCGCATCACTGAGTTTGTTTAAGGTTGCTGGCGAGCATATATGTGTGGAGTTGTTTATTGGATCCCAGACAACAGGCAGCTTGCCAGTGGCTACACCCCTGAATTAAGATGACCCCCTACCAGCTGGGCAGTGGTGGTGCACACATTCAACCCCAGCCCTTGAGGCAAGCGGATCTCTGTGAGTTAGAGGCCGGCCTAATCCAGGACAGTGAAGGCTACACAGAGAAACCCTGTCTCAAAAACACAAACAAACAAACAAATAAATGGCTCTCCCTTCCCTAGCAGCCATTAAATGCTCACATACCCTGGGCTGGGATGGGGCCTGTGGGCCCCCGCCCTTCCGTGCTGGACGCAGGGCTTGCACAGGTGACGTACCTCCAGGGAGTTCATGACTGCAGTGGCCAGGTCTTGGCCAGAAGACATTTCACAGCGCTCCTCCCCACCCCCTGGCTCTGACAGTTTTCATCTGTGCCCCCCCCCCCCCCCGCTTCCTGTGAGCAGCAGTCAGCACTTATTCTCTGCATTAACTTCTGCCCGCTCTGGAAGGGAGCTTCTCTGACCAAGGCTGGCGGCAGCGCTGACCTAAGGGCATAAATACACACGGTTAGCAGGTCTTCTGACAACATGCCCACTTGGCAAACTGTGGTAGGTCCTCCACTGAGGCCTGTGACCTCTCCAAACCCAGTGTGGGAGTGGCTGGTTCCTCCTGTAAGGTTCATGCTACTGCTGTACCACTGAGCACTTCTTCCTAGAGGTCTGTAAACAGTACGGCAGCCAGGCAGGTTGTGTATCATTCCTGCCTGTTCCCAGAGCCTCGGAGGGAGTGTGTTCTCCCCTTCACAGGTCACAACCACATGCCCCAACCCGGGGTACTGCCAGGGTCACCTGCAATTTGCCTGGGGGTGGGGGTGTCATACCTGATCACACACTTGAATCTGCCTCTGGCACAGGCTGGATTATCTTTCAACCTCTCGTCCCTAGGGCAGGGAGGGGAAAGGAACGTATTACCAAGTGGGATCCCTGCTTCTGAGGCTGTGTCCAGGCCAGGAGACGAGAGCCAGCAGGTGACAGGGCAGCATCTGTTCTCGCTCATCTTGTTGCCACAGCTGTCTTATACTGATGGCGTGTCCCCACTGGGCTCAGAAGAGAAGGCACTAGTTTCTCCAATACTCATTCACACTTTTGCTGTGCGTTGCCAGAACAAAGGAACACTTGGTACCATTAAAAACACATAAGAACCAAAAGAAAAGAAAAAAAAGGTTTCTCCAGACAGACTTCGAGGCAGAGTTCCACGGTCAGGTGATCTTGGGGCTCCCTTGTGCTCTGGAATCACGGTTGCTGCTGCCCAGCAGCACACCCCCGACCACAGGGCAGGCTGGTTACCGTCAGAAGGCTGTGGTGTGAGTCCTCTGGGCAGGCAGTCTCTTCCAGTAACTCTACCAGGGGGGGAGGGGGCAGAACGGATGGGCACTTTCTTGTCTCTGAGATAACAGGAATCACTTGATTTATTTCAAGTCTGACTGTGAGAGAATGGATGACTGAAGCAAGCTGCCTTTCCACCTGCAGAGCCCCTGGTCGTCCCCCCCTTCCCCGCCCATGTCTCTTTTTTTACTATTTTTTGTTTTCCTTCTCTAGCCCTTGATCTTAACGTTACTGTTTAAGTCTGTGAACTGTTGCCTTCGTGTTCTAAGATGTAATTATTTGTTCCTTGTTTTCTTTTTAGTCAAAGATGACTCAAATCACACCATAGGAGTGGAATTCGGCTCAAAGATAATAAACGTCGGTGGTAAATATGTAAAGTTACAGATATGGGACACGGCTGGACAGGAGCGATTCAGGTAGCCTTCTAATTTCCTAAGCGTACCGGAACTTGGGCTTTTTAACTAGATTCCCTCACTGTGTCTGGCACACTGATTTCAAAAGCTCTAGCTCTGTCTGGAAGCTCTCAGGACTGAGAGAGCACAGGTTGGACCCCAGACACCAAAACAAGCCAACCGAAGAGCACTAGGCAAATGGCGTCCCAGAGGCGGCAACCCTGTCAGGGGGAAGTGACGCACCGTGCAGCTGGTTTTGGGGTTCTGCCTGTCTTTCGTGTTTTGAGACAGGGTCTGGCTGTGCAGTAAAGGACATTACCCAGGCTGTGCAGTCTGGGTAAACGTCAAGCCCAAGACCTTGTATCAGGCTCCTGAGTGCCAGGACCAGCCAGCCAGAGCATGCTTTTCGATTCAAATCAACAGGACGAAAGCAACAGGCAAAGCACAGGACAAATGGCTTTTCCCACGTTACACTTCTGTGAGGAAGTCTTAAACACCCATGGTGGGTTTTCATTCCTTTACACTAACGGAACATGCTGTGACAACTGCTGTGAGCCGCAGGGCACCCCTGCACAACTGGTACCCAGAATGACTGACTGCAGGTCCCTGCTACTCAGGTTGTGTGGTTTAGCATCCTGTGACGGTGCACGCAGCCAACAGTGTGCGGACATTTTAGTCACGCTTTCTGCAGAGCACAGAGTCAAGGCTCAGTGTGGAATAGTGCGCCCCCACCGCAGGCTTTTCACTCTTTAATTAAAACTGGGACTACAGGGTGGCCATGCCCATAGTCCTAGCTACTTTGGAGGTTTAGGCAGGTTTAGGAGGTCACCGGGGATCAAGGCCAGCCTGGACAATACAGCATGAGGCCATAGGAGATGCCAGAGAAAATGTTATTTTGCTAGTATGAAAAACAAAATGACGGTTTGGCACAGCAGGTAAAGGTTCTTTGCTGGGCAAGCCTGACAGTCTGAATTCCATCCCTGGGAACCCATGCAAAGGTAGTAGTGAAGAAACGATTGTACATACATGGCACCCAACATCATATCCACAGCAATAAAGTTGAAGAAAAAAAATAAAAACTAGCAGGGAGAAGTTGGTATTACAAAGGAGAAAATGTATTACTGAAAAAGAAATCATTGAGAATTTGAGGTGGAGCCGAGCCTGGTGGTGCACGCCTTTAATCCCTGCACTCGGGAGGCAGAGGCAGGCAGATCTCTGTGAGTTCGAGGCCAGCTTGGTCTACAGAGCAAGTCTGGGACAGCCAAGGGTACACAGAGAAACCCTGTCTCTCAAAAAAAACAAACCAGAGAGAGAGAGATGTGGACAAAGAGCCAGTCCTCAGTAGAACAGGAGGTAAAGGACATTGCATGGGGCCCCTGGCAGGAATCCAGGCTGCTCAGTCTTGGGCTTTTCCCGGGAATAAGGGAGGACTAGCGCAGGGCACCCAGAGCTGTGAGTGTCTCCGGGTGCTTGCTGCCCACACAGAGCTAAGGACACCCAGGCCACCTGCAGACCCCGACCCTCCTGGGCCTTCCAGCAGAAAGCACGCTGTTGGTCCTGGAAGCACTGTTTCTATGGGGAGAAGCAAAGGGCCTTGATCGTCAGTCAGAAGCCCCTGTCATCCCTCAGGTCTGTGACCAGGAGCTACTACAGAGGAGCTGCTGGGGCCCTCCTCGTCTACGACATCACCAGGTAAGGTCAGCTCCCCACCACATGGGCTGTCCAGTGCTTTGCGTCTCCGTGTTGGTGAGAGGGAGGATTTACTTCGGTCTAGAGACAGTGTGTACCCAGAGGGCCTCTAGGCCCTTTCCTGGGGTATCACAAAGGCCTTCGGTGTCTGTTCTGCCTCGTGCTTCTTCCCCATACCACGTGGGATGCGCTCCTCGAAGGCTGCAGGGCTCTGTGCACTCTCAGGAGTGAATTATGAGGCTAAAGATACAGATTCAGGCTCAGATCACCTGGGTTCAGGGCCCAGCTCTAGCCAGCGGCCTTGAGATCGCTGCAGCCTTGGGCCTCCCTGTTCTGGTCTTGGTTTCCTCTTCCATAAAACGAGGGTGACATTCTTTTTTTGTTTTTAAGATTTTTTTTTTATATACAGTATTCTGCTTGCATGTTTGACTACGCTTCAGAAGAGGGCGCCAGATCTCACTATAGATGGTTGTGAGCCACCGTGTGGTTGCTGGGAATTGAACTCAAGACCTCTGGAAGAGCAGCCAGTGCTCTTAGCCTCTGAGCCATCTCTCCAGCCCAAGGGTGACATTCTTGAATCCTCAAACAGCTATGGAGGTGGGCAGGTTAAGTCAACTAATAAAACACTGTTCTAATTACTGGCTACATGTAACAACTTGGCTTCATTCCTGGGTTTCTCTGGCCACATTTCAAATGTTCCATGCCACGTGTGGCCAGTTGTAGCATTTTCTTGTTCTTGAGGATAATCAAGGTCTTATAATGCACTCAGCATTATAAGAGCCAGCAGCATTGCCCTGGAAATACATTATCCAAAGGGGCCCTTCCTGGGAGGAGCCTAACCCAGAAGAGAACAGAACAGAACTGCCTTCCTCTTCTCAGGACTCTGCCCTCCTCACCCTGCCAGGGTGCGACAGCGCCTGTACCACTCCTTCAGTGTGAGAGCTAACATGTAGATCTGAGTTTGTCCTGGATAGACAAAGCCAGGAAGTCCTACAGAACGTCCCTGAGCCCCAGCTCCTGGTGGCAGGGGTTCCTTGCGAAGCTGTGGATCAAGGTGTCTACAGATCCACAGCGATTAGTGTTGCCAGCCAGGCCTTGCCCGTGCTCAGCTGCATTTGTGAAGTGAGTGAAAAGCCCCCTTCTCACTTCTCACCCCAGAGTGTGTGACTCACGGATTCCGTGGGAATGATGTGTCACCAGGCATTTGGGTTTCCCAGTCACCCTGAGGTGCCATTGCCCTCGCTGAGATGCTGGCAAGCAGTGTGCATGGTGAGGATGACTGAAGAGAGTCGCTGTTTTATAAAATACATGTATCATTTCCACAATCTTGTGTCACACAGCCGAGAAACCTACAATGCGCTTACTAATTGGTTGACAGATGCCAGGCTGCTGGCGAGTCAGAGCATTGTCATCATCCTCTGCGGGAACAAGAAGGACCTGGACGCCGACCGCGAAGTCACCTTCCTCGAAGCCTCCAGGTTCGCACAGGAGAATGGCAAGTGACTCTTTTCTCTTACAGCGGCTCCCAGGGTGGGTCTGGGCACACGGACACGTCTCTGGGTTTAACGTCTCTGGTGGAGTTGTGAGGTTAAACTGTCTTGTGAAAGTGTGCAATCTGCTAGTTCAACACAGCTTCGTATGTGCGGTTCTGCCGACAAAGGCCAGTGCACCTCCAGGTCCCTGCGTGTCAGCCCCCTCAGGGTGGCAGGCTTCCTATGTGACTTGAAACACAGTTGGTGAAATAGTCATCCTACGCAGGAAGGAAGCAGATCAGCTAGGCTTCATTCTTCTTTCACTGAGTCATCTGTTTAAGGGTAACAGATTTCTTGTTTGTTTAATTTTTTTTTTTTTAAGACAGTCTTTGTAAGTCATCCCGGCTGTCTCGGAGCCCACTATATAGACCAGGCTAGGCAACAAAACTGCATTACAAGATAGCAATTGTTAATAGCAATAACAACATTATGAACACGCAGGAAGAGCCGTAGTTCTGAGAGCCAGCTCAGGCTATCCTCATGTCCACACCTGGTTGAACTCAAGAACAGAAAATTGTTTTCCCAGCTAGATGTATTGAACCGAACACGAACCAGCATAGCACTGAAGGTCCACAGTTCTTGTAGTTAGGAGGCAGGGCAGGAGGATGACTGAAAGCTTGAAGCTAGCCAGGACCATATGTTCCAAAATGAAGGGTGGGAAAAAGCAGGAGGTAGAAAGGAAAAGGAGAGCAAACGCAGTGAATTCTACACACATGGGGTGACATGCTCTCTACCATGTAAAGCTGGCCCTTACCACATACAGCTCCTCTGCTGACTCCTAATCATAACATTATTAATTTTATATAAAGGAAGATTTAGGTACTGGCCCAAGTTCTGTGTGTTGCAGTATGAGAATCCTGAACAGGCAGTCGGAAGCCACTGTCATTGGGCCAGCAAGATGTCACAGTGGACAAAGGCACTTGCCTCCACGCCGGCGGACCTGAGCCCCATCCCCATGGCCCACATAGTGGAAGGAGAATTAAGTTTGACCTACAGACTGTCCTCTTACCACCAAACACACACTATAGAATGCACTCTGTCCAAAATGAAACTGTAATTAAAAAAAAAAAAAAAAAAGGAAAGGTCACTATCTCATAAATGCGGTTCCCTGTCTTCTTGACACTGTTTTTCAGAGCTCATGTTCCTGGAAACAAGCGCGCTGACTGGTGAGAATGTTGAAGAGGCTTTCATGCAGTGTGCGAGGAAAATACTTAACAAAATTGAATCAGGTATCAGCCTTTCCCCAGCCTCGGCTGTGCGTTTTGCGCTGAAGCTCAACATGCCCGCTGCTGGCTGTTACGGGTGAAGCTCTGCTTTATAGTACACAGGTCACGCTTCAGGGGGTCAGGGGCAGCTGTGCGCAGGGTACAATCAGAATTGGGTTATTACATACTAATAAGTGAAATTGCTATTGCTTAATTTTCAATTAATTTACTCTTTTATTCCTGATGCTGTCATATAGCTCCACTCAAACATCCGGAGTCAGGTTCAGGGGGCTCCGAGGAGAAGCGCTCACGCTGCTCTTGCAGAGGAGCCACGTCTGGTTTCTAACACCAACACTGGGCACTTCATTACTGTCTCTAATTCCAAGGGATCTGAGGCCCTCTCGTGGCCTCCTTGGGGCACCTGCACACACACTTTAAATAAACCTTTTTTGAAAAATCCAAAAGTCCTTGAAGTCAGCCATTGTTATGAGCTCTTGGTCCTCCCGGGAACATTTAATGCCATGTACTCGAATGAACAGACTTTTTCCAGACGGGCCTGAGTCTCCTCCCTGACAGCCGTGTGATAATCTGGGTGTGTGGGCAGGTGCTGGTACCCCAGCACGGTTAAGGCGGAGTCAGGAGGATGTTTACTAACAGCCCCAGGTCTCAGTGAGAGCCCATGCCTCAGTGACCAGGAGAAACCAACTCACCTCTGGCCTCCATGCGCATACACATCTGCACACAGATGTCACACACAAAGTTTAAAATTTCCTTCCCAGCCGGGTGTGGTGGCACATCACGGAGGCAGGCAACTCTCTGAGTTCAAGGCCAGCCTCGTCTACCTAGGAAGTAAAAGGCCGGCCACAGCTACATAGCAAGACCCTGTTTCAAGAAACAAAAACCTAAAGTATATTTTTTTGGTGAATTTGGTGAATGTATGCATAATGGGACGTCTCACGTTGCCCTTTCCACTTACCATTTTCCTGGTTCTCAGGTGAACTGGACCCAGAGAGAATGGGCTCTGGCATCCAGTATGGAGACGCCGCCCTGAGGCAGCTTCGCTCACCACGGCGTACACAGGCCCCGAGTGCACAGGAGTGTGGCTGCTGAGCACCCCGGCGACAAGGTGGGTGCCGGAGGCCCTGCACACTGCACAGAAAAGGGAGCGTGTAAAATTGCAGGGGGAGGCCGGGAGGAGGGAGACCCATGAGGACGCTCAGAGGTGTGCCCACCGGACTGACAGGGACTCCCGCCCACTGCTCAGAAGCAAGGGCAGGCAGACAGACACACAGACAGACAGAGCCCAGAGGTCCTGCTGTGCCCGGTCCCTTTCCCTCAACCACCGGGGCCGCCACAGGAGCACCCCTGAAACCAGCCCACTCTCCACTAACCTCTGATCACTTCCATTTACCACGGTGGACTCCTGTCGGAGAAGCTGAGGTAGGAGCCTTCTCCGTAGCTCAGGTGTCCACCTCATGGCAATCCTCCTGCCTCAGCCTCCCAAGTACTGGGATGACAAGCGTGTGCCATCGTGCTCAGCTCACCGTGGCCCTACCCAGCAGTGTGTCGGGCTCTAAGCCATTTCGCACTTACACAGGAATGTAATTGCACTTCTCAGGTTCGGCGGTGGTCACTAGAGCACAGCTGCCCGAGCCTGAGGTTTCACCATCTTTTCTACCATGCACAGACCTCCACGGGAAACGGCAGCGCACACTGGCACAGGGGGCGCGGCGGCCGTGCTGCAAACCCACTCAGCGGAAAACACCTTTAGACGCCACACGTATGCGAAGATCCCCTGCCCACATCTACTCCTTCCTGTTCCGCCAGATCAAGCTTGTGCCACACACAACCCGGCACGTTCCCACAGCCAGCGTCACGCGACAGAACCCCGCACCCAAGACGCTTTTTTTTTTTAACTCCTAGAACTGCAGCTTGTGACTATGAGCATGGTTTCTCGTTGGCTTGGTTTCACGAACGACTCGGTACGAAAGGACTGGCTTCCGGCCAGTGGCGTTTCTGAGTTGACCCCTCCTACCCTTTTTACACTGTTTCTGTGATCCACACCTGAAATGCTAAACCTCCGGGACTCACTAACGTCTGGAAATAAAGTGGAACCGAGTGTCTGGCGCACGGTGCACTCTCCTGCTCTGTGGACTGTAAGGTCTCAGCTGAGGTCGCTGCATGAGCTGCCGTGGGCCCGGGTCATCCTACCCGGCTGCCCTGGGACCCTCAGCCTCCTCAGGCTAGTGCACGCCTGTCTGTAATCCCAGCACTCAGGAGGTGGGTCTCTGAGTTCGAGGCCAGCCTGGTCTACAAAGAGAGTCCAGGACGGCCAGGGCTACGCAGAGAAACCCTGTCTGGAAAACAAAAGCAAAAAAGAGAAAGAGATCTTGGGCTCAGGAGTAAAGCACTTCACTTTGCGTGTGCCAGGGTGGTGGCATGCACCTATCACCCCAACACTCCGTAAACAGACTGCAGGAGGCTGTGGTGACTTCAGGACCAGCCTGAGCGGGAGACGAGTGAGCAGAGGTGAATCACACAGTATCTCGGAGCTCTTCCTAAATTCGTGAACGCCCTACCGTACACGATTATCAAATTGATGGAGGCTTGCTGGCTTGCTTTGAGGCAGGGTCTCTCACTATGTAGCCCTGGAACTTGCTGTGTAGACCAGGATGACCTAAAAACTCAGAGATCCACCTGCCTCTGCCTTAAGAATCCTAGGATTACAGGTGGTCACCACACCCAGCAAAACCCATTTCCGTAAAGATATTTCCTGAGCACTGCCTTTCTTGTGCAAATTTTAATATGCCCAAAGTTTCTCTAATATTTAAAATGTTTTCCAATTGTGAGGCCTTTTCTCTTTGGCAATTTGTTTTATGTGCGTGCTGTTCAATTTCCACCTGACTTAAGATATTCACTAATTTGTTTCATTCTACCATAGTCAAAAACCCATGATGCATCATCACCTTAACTGTTTCGACTGGCAAGATCTGTTTCTACAGTAGGATCGGTATCTTGGTAACGCTCTGCATCCCCGATGAGTTTGCACGGCTATGGCTGGAGAGCTGGAGCCTCTGCCCATTGGTCCGCATCAGGCTCTCCTCACCCCCGGCTGTCGCTAGCGCTCATGGGAGACGCAAGTCTCCAGTTCTCACTCTGAACCTGTTCGTCCCATCAGACTATCTGCAGCTGACTCTTGCAGCTCTGTAGCACCCCCCCACCCCAGCCAGACTTCCACACAGCCTCTACCTCAGTCCCAATGCAGCAGCTGGCCACGGAGTGTCTGCACACACCCGTGTCACTCCCTGGGCGGGGTACTCACACATGCTGCAGAGTTGGGTGGTCCCAGGAAGCCTCGGCGGCTCCGAGTCACGGCTGCCACGGAAACGCCAAGGCAGCACAGTACTCTTGGATATGGTTCGCTTCTTTTGCATTTTTAATGCTTCTCAACCTCTCTGAGCCATCCCTCTTTCAGGTTAGATATTTTTAGTGTTCCATATCTCACTGTAAAATTTGAGACAGGGTCTCACTACAGCCCAGCCGGGCCCGATAGTCATGGCAATCCTCCTAACTCCGTCTCCCTCATGTTGGGATTACAGTGTGTGCCATCGCACCCAGACCTGGATACAGGGCTCCCAGTGGACACTTTCCTTTCACTCCGATGACCCACTTCCTCTGGCTTCCATGGTCTGTGAAGAATCTGCCATCACTCAAACCGTCAGTGCGACGGGGCTTCCTTTGAGCACTCTGTGGCGTCTTTTGGCTCTGGGCAGCTTGAGGATGTGACCTGGTGGGTGTTTGCGGGCTGAAATGGTCACAGTCCCCCTGCCTCAGCCTCTCCAGACCTGGGGGGCCCATGGCTGCTCAGTGCGCTTCTTTGGGTCTGTCTCACATGGGGTTCAGTTCTTTCATCAGTCTGGGGGTTCCCAGCTGTTGCTCATTCTGACCTTTCGAAGCCTTCACTGTCTGTCTTTCCCATCTTCCATGCCCCACGAGGCTCTGCTTCTTTCCTCTCCATTCACTGAGATTCTCCAGCTGTGCTCAGCCAGGGTTCCATTTTCATTTCAGATTTGTTTGTACAGGCTTGCTCTGTCACCCTGACTGACCTGAAATGCCCTGTGTAGCCCAGGCTGGCTTCCAATGTGCAGTTCTCCTGCCTCTGCCCCAGTTCTGGGATCTCTCAAGATGTGCACCCACATACTTGCCCATTCGCTTGGTTCTTCATGGCATGTTTCCTTCCTGACCATTCACATTCTAGTCTTTCAGCATTTTCATTGCTTATTAGGGTTATGTTAGTGCCTGTATTGGAATCTTCTGTCTTTCCTCCTGAGCCCCCAGTCTGGATGCTGAGTGGCAGGACCTCATCCCTGTACTGTGGCTGCTTCATGACCTCGTCCCTGCACCACTCTGGCTGTCACATTTAGTTAGCCCTGTGGAATTGTTTGAACCCACTTCCTGTCATTATGACCCCAGTTTGGCATCAATTCCTGAAGTCCTGGCTGTGCTGTTTGGACCTGCCCTACCTGTGACCCAGAGGTCCCCTGTTGCCTCAGTTTCCTTTGGTATACTAGTTAAGGACAGGTGGGCCAAGTGATCAGCAGCAGGCCAGGCCCCTGAAGTGAATGTGGCACTCAAAATAAGCTAGAGCAATGGTTGAAACATTCCCTAAATACAGGAAACTTTGTAGCTATTTAGGAAATCCAGGATGAGCTACAGAGCAGGAATGAGGATTCATAAACTCCCCATCTCCTGCTGCCTACAGACCCCCACCAAAAGTCCGTGAAGCTAAAAAATGCCTGGAAATGACCAGAAACTGCTTCTTGTAGAGGCTTTTAAAAATCTTCAGGAAATATCAATTATTTAAAAGCTCTTGTGAATAAAGGGTCTTCAGCTTTGCATACAAGAACAAGTATTAAGGATCAGTAATCACTGCATTCCTGGGACACTGTCCATGGTGCTGGCCCTGGTGCCTTAGAAGGCCTGGGTGAAGGGCAGCTGGTCCTCATGCTGTCATATTTGAGATGTTCTTGCTGGGGTGTGCCCCAGGAGCGGATCCACCTCATGATATGGGGCTGTGTCTTGCACAAGTCTAGATAAAGAAGAAAGGGGGAAGAAGATCATAAAGATGTATAAATGACAGGTGGCCAGTACACAGGCCTTATATACCACCAACACCGGTGACGGGGCCAGTACACAGAGGCTTTAATAGAGCACTAACTCGCCTCTTTGTATATGCAGCTGCTGCCAATCTAAAGCCTCTTCTGAGGACTTCCAATATAACACAATTGGCAGAGCAATTGCCTAACATGCATGAAGCCTTGGGTTCTTACATCCTCAGAGCCCCTTTAACTAGGCGTGGCATACACGGATAATCCCAGCAGTTCAGAAGCAGAGACAGGAAGAGCAGGAGGCTCGAGCATAGCTACTTAGTTCCAAAGCCAGTCTGGGCTACATGAGACCCTGTCATATGAGAAGAAGAGGGAGGGAAGGAAGGAAGGAAGGAAGGAAGGAAGGAAGGAAGGAAGGAAGGA